AAAAAAAGAAATGGAATTGTGTGGAATACCTCAGGTAGGGGACAAAGGCATTTCTGCATGTTCCTGTAGAAATCACAATTTATGATTAGTTATTCAATTCGTAGCAGCCAGAGGCAATAGTCCTGGTTGAGGTCTCCTTGTGCTAGCTGCTTTCAGGTGGAGAGGTAGATACAGTCTCTTCCCCAAAGAGCTTAATCTTAGTATTAAAGTCTTTGGTTGCCAAAGCGCATTGTGGGGCTTAGGTGAGAGCAGAGGTTTGCTTTCGGCTCTCTATGAGCTGAGGGGTGAAAACATTATCTACTATCACAAGTGGCTCGGACGCTGCCTTCTGTTTGCATGTGAATCAGATACACTGTTTGCATCATACAGGATGGGTCGCTGTGATCTGCCTGGCCGGGTTTCCTTTTTGGAACCAGCCTTGAACTCTGCCTTCAGGGCTGGGAGGAAACGCGATAGGATGTGAGCCAGTGTGGCACAATCGAGCTTATAAATAGTTTTAGTTTCACTAGAATGCTTACCACAGCTCTGCAATAACACACAACAGTTCCCGCCGGCATCTCCCTCCTTCCTGACTCAAGGGCAAACACAGAGTAGAGATGGTTTCTTGGCAAACAGAGTAGTTCTGATGAGCCACTGATACCATAGTTACATGGCCACTCCCACATTTTCTCCTTCCCTCCCGCCCCCCGTACCTTTACCACATCACAGGCCCCGTCCCTGTGTTGGAACGATGCCCAGTCTGAGACGAGAGGGTGTACCGGGGGGGGGGGGGTCAGTTATAAATCATAAGTGCCCCAGCTTCTGATAGCCACATGTCCCTTTGTCATCCTGTGAAATGCCTGAGTCATGTTGGTACTTACAGAAAATAGCCCAAATTTTCAAACATGATTGCTGTTACCCACCTAAATCTATATTTAGGTGCTTAGAGAGGGTGCCCAATGTTTTGGTCACAGGCAGTAAGTGCCCAGGGATTGCCAGTGACATCAGTGGGAATTATGGGTGCACAGCATCTCTGAATATCGGGTGACTTGGTGGAGCTTGAACAAGGATGTAGGTGTCTAACTTCAGGCTTCTGAAAAATGTGGCAAAATATGATAAAATTAAGGTAAGAAAACACAAATACGTCATAGTCTTTTTCCCCTTAGGAACTTGAAGTAAGAGTTAAAATATTGTTTAAACAGGCTACACCACTGAAAATTCCTACCTCCCAACGTAATCTATTAATATATAAAAACGGTGTGTTCAAAATGGTTTAGAAAAATAAGACATTTCTGTTGTACTCCCTGCTGTATCCCTCATAGTAGCTCCTGATCAATGTTAATGTTCAATAAGCATCTCTGTAAATAGTCTCAAATTGTCAGGACAGTGTGTCCTTTTCCCAACCAGTTTCTCAATGAGCTTTCCTTAAAATATATACTTCTGAGACTTTGTATTCAAAATAATGACTCCTGATTTGGTCCCACAGATAACAATCACCCATCACAAAACTCCTTCCAGAGATTCCCACTCCAGGAGTTGAGATGCTTCACTTTACCAGACTAAATGGTTTGATGCATTAGATAGCCAGCTAGCAGGTGCTATTTTAATGGAAACACAAAACCTCTTCTGTCCTTGTCTTCTTTTTAACTCCTGCTTCTTCGGTCGTGGAGCTGGCACTGCATGGCCGGATTTATATTTCTCCCTCTGTGTAGGCTGTAGTTTAAAATTTAATTGGCATATGATTGTTCAGGATTTTTTTCTTACTGGGTGGATGTTCAGGGTTAGCACCATAGGGCTCTGATCTTGATGGGGAACCTATAGGTCCCATAGTAAGGCAACTAGCAAGTAATGACTTACCAAAGAACAAAGTTCAAAGCAGGGGTTTTGAATGGCTGCTGCACATTCCCACTCATGGGATACTCCAATAGTGCAGATCCGGCCACACTGTTAGCACATCCTTTGAGTGTGAACGTGCAGTTCATCTCAGAGGGCTTGGATTACAAGTGAGAAACCTTTATGTATTCAGGTTGTGAATCCAAGCACCCAGATTTGGGAAATACTGGCTATACGGCTTCAGTACAACCTTAACTCTGCCCCTTTGTGCATACGTGTTGTAATAGTCTAATTACATGATTGCGTCCTGTGGGTATTGCAGGGCAGGACAGGACGGGAGTGGGATTTAAAAAAATGGTCTTCTGCAGGGCTCTACCCCCCGGGATGCAATCATGTTATTAGGACATCATAATGGATATGCACTCGGGTAGAATTAAGGCTGCATGGACAATGGTAAATCTAGCGTATCCTAATTCTGCAAATTCAAGCACTTGAACTGAAAGTTTTAAAGTTTTGGTATGTCATTTCCTAGGTTTCTTTAAAAAGGAAAAAGTTGAAAATGAATTCTAGTACGTACAACTGTAACAATTCTCACTTCTTGCAACGTCAGCAGGACTTGAATCCCTGAACCTTCAACAGTGGAGCACAGAGCTCTGTCACTTGAGCTACCGAACTAACTGCATTAGGTGGCAGCAGGGCAAAGCTGTGCTCCCAGGGAGGAAGGAGAATGCCCTGTTGGCACCATGTGCCAGGCCCAGAAGATGTGTTTAAAAGGGGGAGTGCACAGAGCAGCCTGTGTCAGCGAGGTCCTTTCCTTGCTCCAGCAGTTCTAGAGCGGCTTGTGGTGTTGCTGCTCTGTTGGGAGCCTGGACCCAACGTTTTAGGATATCCATAGTCAGTTGTTGTTTTGGCGGGCTGCCAAGCTTTTCCTGAGGAACAGGACAGGAAAGGGAAGTGGTGACTTTTAGCAGTTCATGCCTTGGCTAAACCTGAGTGGAGTTTCATGAGACAAAGAAAAGGCACCGTTGCTGTCAGAGAGCTTTTCTCCCTGCTGAATTCCAAGGCCGGATGCAAACAATGGACGTGGGAGAGCTTCACAAGAAAAGGTTAAACAAATCATTTATTATGGAACTATTGAGCGACCTAAGCGTGGTGATTGCTGCTAGCTCCCCATAGATTCTCTGATGATCGCTCTTGCAGTCTCTGGGGTTTCTTAATTTGCTTCCCAGTAAAAGCAGTAATCCTCTTTCTGAAATTTTACCCTTGTTAACTTTTGTTCCTGAGTCTGGCCATTTTTGCTTGTACTCCCCTGAGTCAGATCAGTAAACTGCAGGTGCTTATGTCTTACTCATCTTTTACCATTATGAAAAAATGCTAAGATGGAACTTTGTCCTTGCCTAAGATTTCTATTGTTGGAGTTATTCCTTAACAACATCTCTGTGCATTTCCCCTGTGATCCATGATACTCATGGCCCAACTCTTCTACCCAACTGGATACTCGCTTCTTAGATGAAAATGATTCCATTAAAAATCTTTTTGTAAGCGGTTTTCCCACTTTTTGTTGCCGATGAGCTGAGAAGAAATCTGTCTTGGTGTAGATTGTCTAGATGAATTGAGAGAGACAGATATTAGAAGATCTCAAGGCTTATCCTACCAGAGCTAGGGCAGCTTTTCTGGTTTCCCTCAGTAAAGAATTCCTCTCTGAAATCTGTAGAGAAACTGCGTGGGGCTCAGTAAATCATGTATTCAGCTTTGGTGTGTAGATTGGAAATGGTGCGTCTGCTTTGGGATGTTGGTTTCGCAGTTTGTCTTCTGCGAATGGCTACTACCTCTCTGTACAGGAGTGTCTTGCGGCTCACTAGTCTTCGGGTGGTGACTTGCGATGCAGTGTTCTGCCCTTGCTCAAGCAAGCTGAGGAATTGAATGAGAACACAGACCAACATCTTGCCAGTCAGATAGATCGATTTGGTGGCAATTGGCATAAGTGAATTGTATAGACTATTTTAATGGATTTTTATCAGTTGTGGGGTCTTATCCCACACTAGACTCCGTGTGGTGAGACACACAACTCCAAAAGCAGGGGTCTGTGAAGGCATTCTGTCTAGAGAGCTCCACTTACGGGTATTATGAGTAACCAAGTTCTGCTGTTAACTTCTCTCAAAGTCATCAACGCTCTGAAATGTCTGCACCTGTGTGGTTTGTCCAGTTCTGGAACCGTATATTAATACGTTCGTCCTCACGATCCAACTGGCACGGTCTGCTTTGAATACAGTGAGCGCTATGTATCATCAACGGGCTGATGTGTTAATTCCTAAGTAATCCCAGCTAGTGACACTATACAGATAACGAATGGCAGGGAGTTTATTTCTTATTCAACGGTATCCCTCTTCGTAGATCATGATTAATTTTAAATGTTCAGCAATAAGCATTCTATAAAGAGTCTCACATTGTCAGGACAGTGTGTCCTTTTTCCTGAACAGTTGCTTTCCTTAAAACTTTGTACTTCTGAAACTTTGTATTAAAATACTGGCTCCCGATTTGGTCCCATACCAACAGTCCCCCATCACAAAACTCCTCCCAGAGATTCCTACTCCAGGAGTGGAGATGCGTACCGTTGCTTGAACTACGCACTTCACCTATGCAGTTATAATGTTTTTTCCTGAGCATTAAAAGCAAGCTAGTGAAACAATTTTCCAGCCCTTTGTAGGTATTAATAATATATTTATTAATTTTAGCAAAATTTACATGGGAGTGTTACTAATGACTTCTGCAATAAAAATTGCAATTCATTTTCAATACTCTAAGCAGCCTATGCTTGTCGTCTCTTTCTCCACTGCTCCAGTGGGTTTGATCCATGTTTATCCATCATATAGTCCTCCTCCACGTCATGAATTGCAGGGGGAAGAATTCCTCTGTACACAGCCCACCCACTTGGGCCGTGTCCTAGGGCTGGTTCTGGTTGTAAGCAGCTCCCTGTAGTTAAAGCTGCTTGGGGTAGCAGGCCCCTAGTGTGGTGCTGGTGGGGGGACATGACTCCTTTGACAGCTGGGAAGGGGAGAATGGGCAATACAGGGACAGGATGAACTCTGTTCTCAAACCCTGAGACATTAGTAATAGTACAGTTTAGAAAGTGGTTCTTGAATATATTTGATCTGCTTTGGAAAAAGAAAAGTCTCACGTTTTTGAAACATGCATGTTTTATTTCCACAGTTTGCAACTTTATGTCTCATGAAAAGTGCCTCAAGCATGTGAAGATACCATGCTCGTGTGTTGCGTCAAGTCTCGTAAGGGTGAGTCGGCATGTGTTATGATATACTTTGCCTGGCCAGTGGCTCAAGTTTATTTGCCATATCTTTCTCATTAGTAAATTAATTATAAAAAAAATAGATTCGCTCATTAATTTAATGATTTTAATATAAGCTAAATGTTATTCATTGGTTCAAACTCTTAGATCTTTTCCATGACACAAGTTTTAAATCTAAGCCCTTCTGAACCTGCCTGGAATAGATGGTTATGCACAAACTGCCTTTAAGGAACGCAACACAGCATTTTTCAAGATTACCAAAGTGCTTTAATGGTGTGTCATTGCCTGGTAGAATTGTCATACCTGAATGTGGTAACTGATTCAGATGAGGTGCAGAAGTACAGTACACTCTTATACATGGTTTTCTGAGCAAGGTTTTTGGACATTACCACATTTTTTACAGCAATTACACTTCAATAGAGGATGATGAGCCTTTGCTGTTGAATGAAAGAGCTGTTTTTGACTTCTGTAGGTTGGTGCATCTTAACATTTTTATTCACGTGTGCCCTTTTTTGAGTCTTAATTGTAGCGGTGGATACAGACAGAAAATATCATATTCATAGATTCATAGATTCTAGGACTGGAAGGGACCTTGAAAGGTCATCGAGTCCAGTCCCCTGCCCTCATGGCAGGACCAAATACTGTCTAGACCATCCCTGATAGACATTTATCTAACCTACTCTTAAATATCTCCAAAGATGGAGATTCCACAACCTCCCTAGGCAGTGTTTAACCACCCTGACAGTTAGGAACTTTTCCTGTTGTCCAACCTAGACCTCCCTTGCTGCAGTTTAAGCCCATTGCTTCTTGTTCTATCCTTAGAGGCTAAGGTGAACAAGTTTCCTCCCTGCTCCTTATGACACCCTGAAAACTGCTATCATGTCCCCTCTCAGTCTTCTCTTTTCCAAACTAAACAAACCCAATTCTTTCAGCCTTCCTTCATAGGTCATGTTCTCAAGACCTTTAATCATTCTTGTTGCTCTTCTCTGGACCCTTTCCAATTTTTCCACATCTTTCTTGAAATGCGGTGCCCAGAACTGGACGCAATACTCCAGCTGAGGCCTAACCAGAGCAGAGTAGAGCGGAAGAATGACTTCTCGTTTATTGTATATTGTCTCTATATAAATCCATGGTACGCCCACATCTGGTTGCCCCCATCTCAAAAAAGATATATTGGAATGGGAAAAGGTTCAGAAAAGGGCAACAAACATGATTAGGGGTATAGAACAGCTTCCATATGAGGAGAGATTAAGAAGACGGGGACTTTTCAGCTTGGAAAAGAGACGATTAAGAGGGGATATGATAGAGGTCTATAAAATCATGACCGGTGTGGAGAAAGTAAATAAGGAAGTGTTATTTACTACTTCTCCTAACACAAGAACTAGGGGTCGTCAAATGAAATCAATAGGCAGCAGATATAAAACAAACAAAAGGAAGTATTTCTTCACACAATGCACAGTCAGTCTGTGGAACTCTTTGCCAGAGGATGTTGTGAAGGCCAAGACTATAACAGGGTTCAAAAAAGATCTAGTATGAATACACACACAAATTGGATTCAATTTAATTACTAAAGAAGAAGAGCACAAAGAGGTATTATGGAGCTGGAGGAAGATGGAAATGGGAAGATGGGGGCAGTACAATGCCTGGTGAAGTGTTAAGTGGTACGAAAGCTTTAAATAAGGAAAACCTGGAAGAGTTAGAGACATCTGTCATTAAATCAGTCTCAGTGAATCAAAGGGATGTTGATACAGGTATAACAGAGAAGATAATCAGATACTTTTGGGAACGTTTCAATGGAGAGCCAGCGTCTTATCATCTTATACTGATATCTCGGATGTGAACTGCAAGTTTTTATACATAATGTCATTAAAACCCACCCATTCTGTCTGATTGAAACTTTTCCTTAGGTATGTTTGTACACCGCGTGTGACCTAGAACATGCGAATATGAATTGACTAGGATGCTAAGGGTGGGGTCATGACAAGAGCCTGTGGCCATTTTTGGTGGAGGATGTGTGGATCTGGGTGCTTGGTATGAGTGGCTGGTGCTGGGTAGGGGGGGCAGAGGCAACAGGAAAAGGATGGCAAGAAGAGCTCACCTGTCTTCTTCATTCGCAACTTTTGGATCCTAGTGTCCGTCGGATTTTGCTGCGTTTTCCTTCAACTCCTGGGACATGACTTACCAGGCGCTCCTGGTGAACCTACTTGTGGATCATGGCAGGGCTTTGGAGCTGTGCTCTGGCTCCGCTCCAGCTCCAGGCAAAAACCTGCAGCTCCAGAACTGCTCCAACTCCAGGCTCCACTCCAAAGCCCTGGATCATGGCCACTGGGCTGAAAAGTACTGCTCCAGATCGTGTTGTTCTAGGTGTATGGGCTTGTGGCTGCAACAACAGGCACTATTTCCAAGGCTACATGCTTTATGTATTTTACTGTTCATGTCACTCTCTGCAAAGAGGCAGATATTACAGCACTGTAAGTCATCAACTGGGTCAGCTACATCATGACGTAGGGATAAGTTTGTGAGTAAACTTGGGGAGGGTCATAGATCAGTGAAGTAACAGTTAACTAGTTCAAGTTCTGAGAGAGAGAGAAATGATCATTTTCCTTGGAAATGTGTGATTGATCAAATATTCATTCAAGGACAAGTGCAGAGTCCTGCACTTGGGATGGAAGAATCCCATGCACTGCTACAGGCTGGGGACCGACTGGCTAAGCCGCAGTTCTGCAGAAAAGGACCTGGGGATTACAGTGGACAAGAAGCTGGATATGAGTCAACAGTGTGCCCTTGCTGCCAAGAAGGCCAACGGCATATTGGGCTGTATTATTAGGAGCATTGCCAGCAGATCGAGGGAAGTGATTATTCCCCTCTATTCGACACTGGTGAGGCCACACCTGGAGTATTGTGTCCACTTTTGGGCCCCCCACTACAGAAGGGATGTGGACAAATTGGAGAGAGTCCAGCGGAGGGCAACGAAAATGATTAGGGGGGCTGGGGCACATGACTTACGAGGAGAGGCTGAGGGAACTGGGGTTATTTAGTCTGCAGAAGAGAAGAGTGAGGGGGGATTTGATAGCAGCCTTCAACTACCTGAAGGCGGGTTCCAAAGAGGATGGAGCTCGGCTGTTCTTAGTGGTGGCAGATGACAGAACAAGAAGCAATAGTCTCAAGTCGCAGTGGGGGAGGTCTAGGTTGGATATTAGGAAACACTATTTCACTAGGAGGGTGGTGAAGCTCTGGAATGGGTTACCTAGGGAGGAGGTGGAATCTCTATCCGTAGAGGTTTTTAAGGCCTGGCTTGATAAAGCCCTGGCTGGGATGATTTAGTTGATGTTGGTCCTGCTTTGAGCAGGGGTTTGGACTAGATGACCTCCTGAGGTCTCTTCCAACCCTGATATTCTAGGATTCGTTCATTTAAATTTGGCATGTGATTTAAAATATCAATTCTTCTTAATTGTGTGACTAAAACCATGAGTCTGAATATATTAATGTTAAAATCTGTTTGATATTACAATATTCTAGTCTAGTTGTTTTTATTTGTGTCCGGGTGCAGGTTGTTTTCCCCACTTTTCTCTAATATTTTATCTGATGTTTTATTTTTGCTTAAACAATCAAAATACAAACAATAGCATATTTTATTTAACTTTAGATCGTCCTCTCCTGCACCTACGGTTGTGCAGCATGCCTTGTAACAATTGGCAGCTTTCCACACTCAGAATTGTCCACCTGTCAGTGTTGCTGTACAGAGTTGTAAAGGGCTGAAGAACCTTCATGTAGAAAGGTGCTATATAAAATTTAAGATAGTCCAGAAGTAAACAGAACAGTTTCTTCACACAATGCACAGTCAACCTGTGGATCTCTTTGCCAGAGGATGTTGTGAAGGCCAAGACTATAACAGGGTTCAAAAAAGAACTAGATAAGTTCATGGAGGTTAGGTCCATCAATGGCTATTAGCCAGGAGGGGC